TCTAGCACCTGCAGGAGATATGGTGCGAGTCTAATTCAAGCTGCCAGCGACTCGAGTGCCCTCAGTGATGCATGGAAGACTTGCTTGCCTCATCTAACCAACCTCTGCCACCCCAAGGGGGACAAAGGGTGGTGAGTCAGCGGCGCAGCTACTCTGTATATTGCAATGTGTCAGGACTTGTGGCCACAAGACTTTACCGGTGTTTGTATGTCATCGAGGAGTGATCTATGACAATCATTGCATTCCATTCCTTCATCCCCTTAGTAGTACCCGAAACCCTAAACTTTAAAGCTCCTAGTTCAAGCCTGTCATCCCTAAACCGTTTGGCTAGAATCGCCAACGCGTGGTGATGACCTGTTTGCAACAGTCACCTCCTGAACTCTGTGCATTGACACGCGGGCCTTTCCTAAATGTAGGAATGCCATTTTAGGGCCCCGGAAAAAAAGAATTATAGTATTTGGCGATCTATATGGAGCCTCTTATTATGAAACTACTCACTTTCCAACTTTCTGGTAATCGCCCAAGCCCCTGTAACCCCTCCCCTCTTCCTCCATGCCCTCCATGCATGTGTAGTTGCCGTCACGCACGGCCTGGGGGTTGGGCTCTAGGAACCGTTGTCTGAACGATCATAAGTTGTCTATGCAGTCGCTACGCCCGGGGTTGCGGCGTTAACTGGAAAGATGTGGGGTTCCCGAAATTAGAGGTTGGGGTCTATATTGGGCGCCTTGGTTCACAGTGTCCTGAATGCTCTGTTCTGCTTTGCGATGGTCTGTTTGCGCCATGCAGTTGTGAAGAGGCCGTCTGCAAACAGAGATTTGAAAGCTCGAGGTCCCTTTGTGAATCCCACCGTATCATCCTTTCTGTAAACGCAGTTTCAACTTCATTCTTTATGGTCTTTTCTATTTGATTCTGGATTGTTATGGCATAATACCCCGAAACCGTAAACCCTAAGCTCTATTTCAAACTTTTTAAACCGAAACCCAGCACCAATGGTAATCCAGCTTAGGTCTGAATGTTCAGAGTTGTACAAGCAGGCGGCTCAATTGGGGACCTCCCACATGGTCAGGTGATGGGGACCTCCAAATTCCACAGGAATGTTGTCATAAGAGCTCGCACAAATTGGTAATGCACATGCTGCAGAAACCAAACAGTGAGTTAGATATAGCCGAACCCGTGGTGAGAGTCTCAGTCTTGCCTGACAATTCGACTATAGTCACCCTTCTTTAGATAGAATATGCGGTATATGGGGAACTTATTTTAATATACCCACATTCTGTCTACTTAAGGGGGACTACAGCCTTAGATGGCGGCGGTCTGTACAGTTGCTAGTTTGCACTGCCATGCCAGATTGACATTGTCTAGAAGGGGTGGAGGAAGCCAAACACCAACATTATGGCCCCTTTCAAGGGCTAAGAGGCATAGTGCTAAAGAATATGGAAACTACTACTTGGGGTTCAGGGTTTAGGGTCTGAGGTTTAGGGTCCTAAACTTCTGCAAGTGAGAGCAGCATTGTTGGGATGGATTTCAGGGCTTACGGTCAGTTGGGATGTCTGGAATCCTTCCATCCCTCCGTTGCACAGGATGTGCGTGGGATGCTCCGAATCCATAGCAGTTGCCGTGATGATCAAGCAGAAGAGGTGTGCAGTAGAAATCATGAGCGTGATCCTATTGAATTCCTACCATTTGTGTTCTTGTCCTTTTGACAAGAGGTTAGCATCTGAAAGCCATAGCCGCATGACGAGTTCGTCAAACTTTACGCATCAAAAGGCAGCCTGCTGTGATCGTCTGCCGTGAACTTTCAGGATCCTTCGATGCGGTTCACTGGAGAGTGTCCAGAGAGCTGGCAGAAGCCCAACCTTTGCCGAATTTCTACTCTTCCTCAAGTACACGAACATGATGCCAGAACATGTTGTACCGATGGCCTACTTCAGATTAGGTGCTCGAGGATGACTAGGTTCTTACCCGGTGACCTTGGGCTGAGGTTCAATGGGATCAGGGTCAGTTGGCTGGAGTAGGGAATGCAGCAATGCAGGATTGGTCCTTGTGACCCAGATCATCCATGCATTCATTCTTGACGAATTACCAGTAGGTTTATACCCCAAGCAAGGCTTCAAAGCAGATCTGTAGGCCCCCGAGCTCCGACATTGGACCCCTCAGGTCCCCATCTCTTATCATGCGAAGCCACAAGTGCAGTCACAGTGCATTGAGGGCGCTGAAAAGCTGTGCGTTGCCATCCTTATGGCATTCTGCCAGAGTTTGCAGACACGTGGATACCAGCACTTTTGGATTATGACCTGTTGTTTCTGACAGCTAGCATAGTTAGCTAGCATAGTTAGCTCAATTCCAAATACTATCATTGTACACCTGTGCTTTCAACCCTCCAGCCCTCCAACTCCAACCTACATACGCCCGGAAAAAAAAAGCTGCCGCCTCAATTTTGAATTGGAAACAAGCTGATATTTTTGTCCTACCCTCTCACCTTGTCGCGGAAGGGGGGGGGGGGTAATTTCCGCACTTGGATGAGACCGTGCGCTAATCTGGTCTGGTGTCGGGGTCTCATGTGCAAAACTTGCCTGGGTATGCTTCGTAGAAACCTTTGAATAAACCAGTTTTTGCCTGGTGCAGTTCAAAACAGACCGAATGCTGTGCATTCCTTGAACGCATGCAGCTGCAGAATTGATGTGATTGCTGAATGACACCGTTTTTAATTGTGCCTGTAATCCTGATTACTTCGAGTGCTGCTTGAAACCTTTCTCGTCACTTTGGGGGCAGTACATGCTGCGGTGCTTCAGGGAATGCGATTTTCATGTGCGTTTCTTTGCATATAATAATTATCGCACGTATTTCATAACCAACTTCATATTCCATTTTTTTGGCTATCATCGACAACGTTTCATTGTTTTCATTTTGGCTTTCATGGTTTGCCCGTTTTTGTATCGGACCACACGCCGAACTTGTACGGGAATGCGCTCTTATAACGCCCGGAACTGATGCTTTCTTAGGAGCGGCGAAGTCATTGAACACTTCGCAAAATGTAGTTGCTGGCGTCCTGTGTTTGCCTGAATTGATGGTCATGCCTCCTCAATACCCGAAGACGTGAACCACAAACTCATCAGCACTCTTTGTACCGTCAAATTTACCAGGTTGTTTGTCTCTTGCAACAATCCATCTAAAACATTGCATTGGAAGATCTGCTGCTAGGAAGGGGTTCTATTTTTTTGTGGGACGCCAGAAGGGGCCAGTGCATGTAAGACATGAAAGATCCCTGCCACCAATGTTCCATAATCAATGTAAGCCTTAGCCGCAAGCCGTCGAACCTGCGTCTTTAATTCTAGAACCATTAGTTGTTTTTGAATTCAGCGGTTTCTTATGTTTACGATTTCGTGTATAGTTCTGACGTCGGCTAGTACCGCTGCAATCATTCTTAAATCAATTGGGATACTTGCCGTTCTCAGCAATGTTATGGGCACCCTTCCTGGCTCCCCACACATAGCTTGCCAAATTGCAGAAAATCGTATAGTGCCGTTTATGATGGCCTTCGAATTGAGGGTCGCCGAGCTGCTTTCCACCATTTTGGAAACTAGGCAAGATCCCACATAACCACGCAAAGTGCTGTATAAACGGCACGCCCTCAGGGACTTGAGGGGTTTCAGTTACAGATCCACGTATCATAGGGTAATTCTGCATTATTCTAGGGCGAGCTGGGAAATACCAAATTGTCCGACCCCCCTATCCCTTGACATGTGACTCCTCGGCTGTCCCTGCGGCAAGACAAAGGGTTGCACCGTACAACATCGATAAGTTTGATGTCACAACTTTCCCGCACACTTGCCAGCATCAGTTTTGGTTGACCGGACTGGCTGATGACAAGACACGTCAATGCCGCGAGTACAAGCCTCAAACAGAATTGCACAAGCATTGAGAACAGGGTCCAAATCTTGAAGTTGAGGATTTCTGTTGAGGAAGTTTTGTGGGTCTAGCCCTGCTTGCTGGGCTTGGGTAGTTGTGGAGGTTTGGTGTGGTGTTTACAGGCATTTTGCAGCAACAAATTCCTACTTCTGAGCCTGTCTCCATAGTTTGCATCTGCCATGTCTGCTCTCAGCCAGGGCGCTCCTGGCCAGCTGCAGGCATTTATGCCAGCTCATACTCGTTGCTCCTATGATGGTGTGGGTGATGGGGCTGCGAACAAGCAGCTCCATCCCGCGCAAAAGCCACTGACGCCAGAGATGTGGCTATCCCTCCCACGCATGCAGCCGGGGCCTAAACAAAGCACGTCTTGTAGTTCAGGCTCGTATCCTCCCATGCAATGCGGCCATGAAGCGTGAGGCCCAACGCAGCTCAGTGCAATGGCGGCATCACGAGCGCACCTGGCCGGCAATCAAAGAAACTGCGAAGGGATGATGTGTCGGTGTGCAGTGTGCAGTGTGCTTTCTGCTCCCAATTTGTGATCTGCGTTGCGAAAAGGCATTCGACTCAGACTGGGCGCAGGCCCATTTAAGACGCTCTTCATGCCTTCGAATGCTGTGTCATGTCACGCGTGCATGCATGCGTGGGGCTCCTCCTTTGGTAGGGCAGCTCGGTTGCCCAGGGGCCTGGATTGTGCCTTGGCCTTTTTTTTTTGTGACATTCCGACTGGCAGGCCATGATAAAGATGGACTGTGCGAGGTATTGTGTGATGTTCTGGTCGCATGTTTGTATGACCCGCGGGAGACTTTGTTGCATGTGCCCGATTGCAAAGGACTCCGCAGCAGCAGCTGCTCACTGATTTTATGGAGCCAGGGCCTCAAAGCAGGATCAACTGTGTGGCTGAGAGCATCGTTTGTGTTGCCCACTGAATTTGTTGGAATGTCCCTAAGAGGGTGAACGTAAGCAACTCAGCATGCTCACGTTTTGAAGTCTTCTGAGCCTTCAATCCACAGCGGTCTTGCCGGTACTTGACTTGGAGATGCGAAATGAAGTCTGAGACTTTCGGATACTTTCGGGGCACAGGGCCGGCTGAGGTTGGTTGAAGCCGAGCGCGCGGCGCTGGCGGACGAGTCCGAGCAGCGCCTGGAAGCCGAGGATTGCTGCGGGAAGCTGGTGAAGGCACTCGATGGCGCCCTTGTGCTCATTTGCGATGAGCTTCAGCGCTCATCTATGTTGCTCCTCGTCAGCTCCTGTTTTGGCAGAATAATTCAGATGCAGGAGGCTAGGCCCAAGTAACTGAGGCACTCGCCTGGAGCGGCCTTGACACTGCCCGCAACAGTGATGCACCTTGTCTTGTTCTGCAAGAAAAAAGGGGCACCCCTCCTTGCTCCCATTTTCCATCTTCTTCTTGTTCATCTGGCTGCTTGCAGGCCTCAGCGCTTCGACACCGGTGAGTTTGACGTCACAAACGTCAGAGAGCAAGTCTTTGAGTTTGATCAGAAGCTGAAAGAGTCGAGATCTCAGACAGCCTCAGCAAGATCTGCAGAGGGCCTGACCGCATGAAGATGCCGTGTCCCGCACAGATCCGCACAGGCTGCTTGAGCTCTGCGAAATGCAGAGAAATGCCCACCACAATCTGCGGATGGCTTACGATCTGGAGACCTCCAAGAGCCTCGAGCGAGAGCAGGCTTCGGACGACAGAGCCAGGGTTCTCTCCACAGACGTAGAAGAGGGCTTTTTGTGCCGGATCCACTGGGAGCACTCCAGCAACACTCATGTGGGAGGAGAGCCTCGAACTAGCTGATCGGTTGAGGGAGCTTGAAATGGAGCTCTTGCAGTGGAAAGACCAGTGCCTGGGCAGTGTATCGCAGAACGAGTCGGCATGGCGAGCTCTAGCTTGTAGAAAGTTGGCCAGAAGAGTTTTTGGCCTGAGGTCCCCGAGGCCTGTGGCTGTTGATGGCGATGTCAGCACCAGCACGGCCCATGACTCAAACTCCGGTTGCCTGAGCGTGCCTTGCCTGCATGAAGCAACCCGCGAAATCCGCGAGTTGTGACTTGATCCGAGTGCGGACCTTAGGACAACGAAGCCTCCAGTTTCAGCGAAATGAAGGTCGGCTGAGCACATGATAGCTAGTGCATGCTAATGCTGATGAGCCGCATGGCGAGCCTCCGCGTGTCCAGGTGGAGCTTGGCAATAGCAGCCCACGGCACTTCAGCCTGTCGGAGGCGCTTGCGGCATCTCAAGCTCATCTCCTTGCGTGCGGAAATCTTTTGTCTTGATTCGGACAGGACGACGATGACGATTCTAGTGCACAGCACAAGCCGATGTCTGAGAAAGGTTGCAGCCAACAAAGTCTGTCACACGGCCAGGCTTATCAATCATCCCTCTGCCCATAGCGCATGTGTCTTTCAGGCCCAGCAGCATCGAAGCTGAATTCGATGGCAGTTGGGCGGAGGACGGTCCCGCATGAAGTGAAAATCGGATCTTTGAGGAAGCTATGTGTGCAGCCTTGCGTGGGGTTGGTTCTGCAGAAGGAAAGTGTTACAGAGCACAAATGGAGCTTGATGAAGGCCCCGGTGTAGGATTTAAGAGGAGGACCGTGCGTAAGGCTTTCAAGCGATGAGAGGAAAACGTGCGATACTGTATGTGTTCAGCACATCGGATCCTGTGATTTTGGCTGTCAGTATGAGCAAAATCCCGAGCATAAGAGCTAGCTAGATGGCAGGAATCCTGCAATCCTACTCATTCACAGGATGGCGGCAACGCTCTGGGACCGTACTGGCTGCCCCTGCACCTCGTCTGCATTTGCCTGGGCTGCTTCTTGCTTCCGCTGGTAGGTCATACTCCTTCACAGGGATCATGCTCAGTTCATGTCTGGTCCTTTTGAGAAGAGCGAGTGGATGCACAGAGCAGTGCTCTGAGGCCCATTTTCTTGGATTACCTCACTGTACCTGGCTTGCACTTGGCAAACATATCTCATGAGAATGGAGTTACTCCAGCTTTCTGAGGTGCCAGAGATAAAGAGCTGGCGCGTGACCTCCTGGCAGGCCAAAGATCCCGAGGCCGATCTGCATACCTGCGCGTCCAAGTCCCGAGTCGGCAGGTTTCAAAGGCTTGACTTTGCCTGTTCGTATCGAGGCGCTGGTTCAGCACGTGGCCGAGCTGGGCAGTCTTCAGAGGCCTTGATGCGGTGCTTGATGCGGTGTGATGAAGCAATCTGCATATTTCAAGCCTTGTAGCCTCTTGGAGTTGGAGGCCTTCCGCCATTCTTGACTTTTGCGAGTCGTCAGTTGCCTTGGCAAGAGTCCGATCTGCTGCTCCAAAGGGAGAATCCATGAGAGCCATCAAGACGCGCTTTCAAGAAACACGGTTTGGTGGCAATCCTGGGCCGGACAAGGTCTACCACTGCTCCTTGACAGATGCAGCAGCACAACCTAACTATCAGCCCTTCCTGCTCTTGGCAATTGTTAATCCATACCACTAGCTTGAAGGTTTGGCGAATCCAGGTAAAAGAAGCGAGTACAGATGTTGCAGATGAACATGTTCTTTTAGGTGGCTAAATTGAATTACCTGAGGTCAGCTTTGGAGCATGGCACAGGCCAACTCGAGATACCGTCATTTCCCCGAGTCCGCTGCAAATTTCATTGTGGATGCGCTGCTGCATGACATCTTTGAGCACTGCAGCAGCCAGGATGTGGAGGTATGCAAAGCAGGTCTGTATGGATTGCGCTACGCCCTTTGCATCTCTGCGGCACCGTTGCAGGAAGCGTGCGCCAGACGCATCCTTAGCCTCATGAAGCATAACTTGCAGTGGGCAGCCAACTGGGGATGGGGCCAGCAGAGAGATGCCATGGCATGTTTGAGCGTGGCCTGCAAAGCGCTGAACACAGCTGAGCAGCAAGAATGCATGGCCCTGTTGGTATCAATGTTAGAGCTGGAGCCGGACTGGCAGAGGCAATTGATCATCGTCTCCGAGATGCAGATCTTCTGGAGAGCCGTTGCAGATCCTTATGATACGTACGCTGCAACAGCGAAGCAGCTGGGACACATGCAGCGGTCGGAAGCTGTGCACTGCCAAGTCCGAAGTGGACTGCTCTCGCTGCTATGATTGCAGAGTGCTTCAAAAGTGCGGGTTCCTTGCAGTACTACAGGATGGCGGTAGAGTCTTCCGTCAATGAAACTTCCCCAGCGCGAGATTTCCAATTTCGTAGTTTGATTTCGGCTTCCACTGCGTGTGAATGTGGGCTTGGAATAAGCCTGCTGTCAGATTTTATGCAAGAGCGCTCCTACTTGTTGTTATAATTCCAATCATATATGACAGTTCTGGTAGGCCAGCACTGTAAAACGATAACCAGTAGAAAAAGCGCACGCAATGGAGTCTCCAGCTCCTAACCGGACGCAGGCGGGTGGTTTTTGCGGGCTCAGATAAAGGGTCTCTTGGCTCTGGGCTGTGTGGGAGCTTGAGTTCTAAGCACTTCAAGGATTTGGAGGTTTGGGTTTTGGGCGTTGGGACGGTCGGGGCTGCTCATGTTTTACAGGTGAAATCCAACCTGCTTTAGAATGCAAGGCCCTTTAGAGTTGCTTCTACACGATGCGAATACCTGCCAAAAAGGGCCCTGTCGGATTTTCCATATACCTCGAGGTTCTAGATGATAGTAAGTTTGTATATATATATATATGTATGTATATAGGGGTACAAATAGGGTATACAAGCATCCCAGCGGTAAGGGCCTCTACTAGAGGCCCATGGTTTCAACCTCAGAGTCTAGGGATATGTTTAGGGCCTTGGAGTTTAGGGTTTAAAGCTTAGCGTGAATTCCGGGGCCCCTATAAAACCCTCTAAGAACCCTATCAACCCATAGGCTAAATTCCAGGATGATGACGAGAACCTGGCCCAGAACGTGGCCCAGAGGGCCATGGATGGTCAAACCGCTTCGACGTGGCTGGGGGAGGCGGGTGTTTTTGTGGGCTCGGATAAAGGGGCTCTTGGCTCTGGGGCTGTGCGGGAGTTTGAGTTTGTAGGACTCTAAGCACTTTAAGCATTTGAGGGTTTGGGGTTTTGCGGAGTTGGAACCGTTGGGGGTTTTCAGGCGTTACAGGTGCAACCCAACCTGCATTAGAATGGAAGGCCCTCCGTACCTCTTGGCCTCTAAACGTTGACTCATACACTCTGCAACCATCTGTCAGCTTCCAGTGCCCCATTGCTACACACCCATTCTATATCCTAAACACCAAAAGTCCTAGGGCCCAAGGCCCTGAACTTACATGGGGATTAGTGGAAAAGAATTGAATGTATTACGTAGGTGATTACACAGGGGTTCTATTCCCTTGTTCCCTAGGAGCCACCAGTGAGTGAATGTACAGGCAAGCTATTCTGGGGTTGAAAATTGAAGGGTTTAGGGTTATATGAGGATACATAGGGATACATAGGGATATGTAGGGGTATGTAGGGGTGCATAGGGTTTGGGGTGTCAGGCTTAGAGTTCGGGATTGAGGGCTGTGTGTTTCCATCAAGGTGTTATTTGAGCTTTAGACCTTGACGGCCTCAAAACAGAGGTTTCGGACTTCAGGTCAATAGACGTTATTGTCATTTCGACTATCGTAATCTTCTTAATTGTTATTGTTGTGCGTACTTTCTGTTGTTATTACCGTTTATTGTCACTACTGCTACTGCTACTACTGCTGCTGTTACTGCTAGTAATACTACCGCTGATATTATTATGAATACTGCTACTGTCTTATCATTCTCTTACAACTATCACTCCTACGTTTACTACTGGACGTTGGGTGCTTCTCCTGTCAGAAGCTATAGACCTTCAACCCTGCGCGGTAGACAGGCTTCCTGGATGCTGCTTGCGCAAATGCGCCTTCAGAAGCGACCTGGCTGAACGAGCGGATCTAGAGAGTGTAGCCTCGTATACACGATGCGAAGAACTGCTAAAACAAGGCAGTGTCGGGTTTTTCCATGTGCTTCAGGCTCCTGGATAATTGTAAGTCGGGATCAATTATTGTATATCTGTTTATGAAATCAGAACTTCCGTGACGGGACCTTGTGCTAGGGTCGAATGATGCAAAAGGGATTTGAGTTTAAGGCTACTCGGGGGTACATTGAAGGACCTTGGGGAAGCCAAAGGGAGGGCCCTGGTGCGATGGACCTCTTTTGTGTCTTGCCGAACGCTAATAGGACCTCCACTTGGGCTGATGATGCTCTCGTAAGCGACGAGCATGCGTGCTTACTGGGATAGCTTCAGAGTCCCAGACATTCAAGCATCAAGGGGTGTACTGGTATCCTGGTCGTTCCGTCTCATTTATTGGAGGCACTACAGCAACCACTACGTATTTGGTTGCTCCTCTTACTAGCTGTTTCTTTTAGCTGCGGCTGCTGCATCTACAATACATTTAGTTGCTTGTTCAGCACTGCTTTTCAGTGCTAGTGCTGCTCGTTGTTCAAACACCAGGTTCGGTGAGGTGTACTTCAGGGATATCCTATGTATTTTCTTCTGATTTACATGCAGCTGACCTGGCCTGAGATTCTGCATAGATGTCAACCTTCAGGCACCGGTCGCTTTAAGCGAGCCCGGCGGCTCAGCGAAGCTGAGATTAATCGTAAATGTACTACCAAGAGGAGGAGTAGTCACGGAAGTAATAGTAGAGGTACCCTAACATCGTCCATTGACGATTGCATGCTATAACCAGAGCATCCCTGCCCAAACCACTTTCGAGAGTACAGGATAATCAGAGCTTCCATGGCCACACCATGATATCGTCCATTGACGATTGCACGCGTTAACCATGGCATCCATGCCCAAACCCTAAGATTGGTCCATTGACCATTCCATACAATGACCACAGCCTTCATGCCCAAACCATAATATCGTCCATTTGCGAGACAATACGAGAACCCAAGCCTCTATGCCCAAACCATAATATTGTCCACTTTCGAAAGTCTATGATAACCAGAGCTTCCATGGCCACACCATGATATCATACATTGAGGATTGCACACGATAAGCAGAGTCTCCATGCCCAAACCATACTAGCCAGCTGTGGGGTGCGGGCAAAGGGGGGGGGAGGTCGACGTAATGTTAGCAGTGCTAGTAGTGGTTGTGAAAGTGATAGTAAGAGAAACAGTGATAGCAATAGGTGGTTATTGTACTGGTAATCATGCTGGCAACAGGAACAGGAATAGGAATAGTAGTAGTATGAGTAGTAGTAATGGTAATGTTAACAAGTAGCAATTTGTGTAGCAATAGTTGTACAAGCGGGAGCGTGGCAGCATGTTTATGTGCTGGTAGCATCGCCGGCAAGTCGGCTGTTAGGGTGGGATGAGTTACAGTGGGAACAGGCATCAAAGTAGCGCAGCCGTGCACATGCATATTATTGATATGGCATCTCGTAGTACCACTACTACCACTCGTGGCATGTTGAGTGGATGAACTCCAAGCCTTAAACTCGAATCCTGAAGCCGTGTAAACACCAAGCCCAAATTGGCCCACAACCCAAGATCAAGTCCATGTGTGCCAGAGTTTGGATGGTTTTCATTGGATGCAAGGACCAGATATAGTTTTTCAAGCTATTACGGAGCTGTACTAGGACGATTGCGGTATCCAATGAATACTTCCGAAGATAACCGGAGAGGGCCATACTTTGGACCTTAGACATGTGCTCCAATTTAGGCTTGAGAAATAGAGATTTGGGTCCTGCGCCTTCATTTTTAGAAAGGCCTTTGAAGCTTCAAGGCGGCGTGCTCGACATGCCAACTAGTCAGTCCTGCCTCCACACCCATCCGATGCGGCGAATGAACGCAGGCGGACAAGTTGCTGCACAAGGAGCCGCAGCCTTTCTCGGTCAATTACACAGTTTCTGAGAATTTGGTGTCATGCTTGAGGGAGTTGGGTCCCGATCAATAGGATTGCAGTGGTTTAGTGGCGCAGGAGGTACCCCTATTCTCGGAAACCTCCATTTGTCAAACAAATTGCTTTCTTGCTTTCTTTGTGTGGCTTATGTCAGGGGGTTGGCACTCAGGGATCGGGTTTGTACAGGGTTCGTGCAGCCGGGAGTTTTTGGATGCTGAGTCTTCAAGATTTCGAGTAGAGATGTTCTCCGAGAGCACCTGGGGAGCGGCTACAACGGTTGAACAAGAAATCGATAGTTTTGGACTTGGCCTGCAGCCTGAAATCCTGAGGCTCAAGATCCGTGAGACCAATACTCAAATTTAACACTCTAGCAACAGCATTTTGGATTGGGACGCCAAATTCAATTTTTTAGTCTACTGAGTTATTATCATAATTTTCATTTTTGGCCGCGCAACTTCGCACAATTAAGCTCCCCAAACGAATCAAGGGGTGCCGAATAATTTCGGCGAAGCTTCGCGTAACTAGCAATTAAGGCCACCCACACTAATCGGGATCAAACATTACCCCAGAATTCCATGATGTGAGCCTTGGAAGGCAATTTCAGCTGTTGCGGAAGCTCACCTGGAGCAGGCCCCAGCTGCCAAGAAGGGGCTTGGGTATTTGGATATAGGTTCCAATTGTCTTTTAGTTTTTTTTTGAATGGTGTAGGGTGTTGGCTTGAAGAAGCTGGCAGTGCGGACGCTTGATCATCAGGATGTCGCTTTCCGTAAGCGTTGTAGGGAGTGGAATTCAGGATTTCAGGTTTCCAGCTTCAGAAGTCCTGGCTGCAGAGCATCGAGTTGTGTTGAGTTTACGGTATAGCTTGCGCTTTAGGATTGTGGCTTTGGAAAATGCTCAGGCTGATAGGCTGATGCCAATCAAGGGTTTAGAAGTGTGGGCTCGTCGGTATGGGTGTTCTACATACCTTCACGGCGTTGAATGGTTTTGCCTATGTAGGGCTTGAAGCCATCATGTTCTTGCGGACCCATAGGGATGAAGCCGGTGTTATTTGGTAGGCTTTGGAGTTTCGGGATGGGCGCTGTGATGGGTTTATTGGCAGGTGCATGGATCCAAATGTTGACCTTCTTGGTTCTAGGGTTTTGTGAGTTGTAGATGAATATTCTTGGCATTTCAAACGCGATGGTGGCTGGTTCAAGGGACGGTGCGGATGGTACATGTTGAGGTTTGAACATTCGGAATTTCGGGCTTCCAG